TTTATGAAGACAGAGTAGTTTCACTGAAGAAATTTTAACCAAAAATTTAAAAAATAGACGAAGTAAAATAGAAGAAATAAAGATAGAAAGGAGACACAGAAACTATAGCTTTAAGACATAATCAAAATTATCCAAATTTACCCATACTTTTATTCCTTGGGCGTGTTTTTCCCCCGTCTGGGGCCAAATTCATAAGAATTTTACAGATACTACAAGTTCATAAATTCCAAAAGTCACATCAAAGACTTCCATTTTCAAAAGAAATGGTACATAAACAAAACTACTAAATGGGTACCACATTCTAAACTTCAAACACACATAAAAAATTTATATTTCACCCAGTTGATAAATTCAGGTTTTGTTTTAATCTACTAAGGGACAAGAACCTGATTTCAACATAAAAAGCAGACACCAGGCAAATTATAAATGATTAGGTAAAGTATCTTAGTCCATCCATCTTCCGGACACCTCCACAACCACATGTGTCTATTTCCTCAACCCCAGAGCACAGGGAGTCTCATCTTCCAGTGTCCTACCCATCTGCTATAGAGTGTGCACTGCCTTAACTTGGCCTAGTAAATCAGCTGGTGCCTCTCACTGATGCATTTCGAATTCTTTTTTGCAGCTAACATCAAAACCTGACTGGGCTGGGCCAGGGATTTAGCTCAGTACCCAAGTTCGATTCCCGGTACCAAAAAAAAAAAAACCTGACTGGGCTGAGCTGAATTCTCCATTTCTGCTCTAGAGGGAACTCCTCAGACCCTGCTTGGTGACAACAGGAAAAGTTTGTGGGGATAGTTTTATTTTATCTGTTCCTATTTCTGCTTATAACCAAATTAGCCTTCCCAGTTCTGAAACAAAAATGAATGGTACCTACCAAGTGCTGGAATAAAACCAGAGTTAAAAATTTTTCCTCTGTTAAGTAAGAGTGAGAAAATCTGATATAAATTTCAAGTTGTTTGGCTAGAGTTCTAAATATATTTCATTTGCTTGTCATAATTAGAATTTTCAGAGTAATCATACATACATAGTGCCAAAATGTTTATCTTGTATTTAAGATATGTAGGGCATTCTGAATGTTATTAGAAATAAATTTATTAAAAAGATAAAGATTTATGGATTTACTTACATTTTCTTCTCTCTGTACATTCTTATTTAAGAAAGAAATAAGAAAAATGTCTCTTTCCCTGCCATATAGCACAATGTGTTGCATCTTAACACTCCTTTGAAACACACTGATCCCACCTGCAATGATAGTTTGACATCCCTGAATGGTTGGTAAGAGCCTGCACTACTTGAAGAGCAGTGAGCTGTGTTTTTCTCCAATTTTCTGAAAGTAGATGAAATATTTAGCAACTGAAATATTTAGCTCTCAAAAGAGCTGCCACTAATAACCACAGTTCCCAAGAGAGTCAAACTGTCCTCTGGGCTCTATTGCTCAGGAATTTCATCAGTGTCAAGGCAGTATCAATCAACCAAACTGAAAATAGCTGGGGCCGGGGATTTAGCTCAGTGGTTTCACTGCCTGCTGAACAAGTGCAAGGACCCAAGATCGATCCCCGGTACCAAAATAAATCCCCCAAAAACAAAAAACTGAAAATAGCTATTGAATGGTAAAACCTCATCAGATTTACAAGGACCGGGATATCCCAACCAGCAACTGGGCCACAAAATTACTCAATAACTTAATATCCAGTAACAAAATTCTTTGTTTCACTCATTTTGATAGTAAAGTCCCTACAGAAAGAGTATGAAAGTTTTTGAATAATTTTCTCTTTTCTCATACATTCTAAGCCATTTTTTTCCAGGCAGCTATCATCAAATTTATAGGAAAATTGTCTTTCCACAACATTATATATTGATTCTGTAAAGGAAAGCCAACAAGGCTAGGAACTTTAATTAGCTAGTTTACCACCATTAGATTAGGAATAAAGCAGGTACCCAACACTAAAATAGTTAAAATCATTTGCATTTATTATATTTCTCTCACCACAGTACATTTACCTGGAATAATTATTGTTTACATATTAAGATAAATGTATGATTTACCACAATATGAACTGTTTAAAGAAAAGATGTTAAAAATTGCACTGAAATTATAAGCAGCGATATTTAATCACCCATTTAACATATACTGAGAATAAGAGGCAAAGTGAGCAGTTGTACTGCTCTTCATAAGGCAAACTTCAACACAAAAGCTAATTTTGCCTTTCATAGTGTCGAAAACAGTATTATTCCCTTCACGTTTACAAGCACACTCTAAGCATCCAAATAAGCAGTGAGCCCCATTATATTATGCAGGACACAATATGCAGCAGCTAATAAGAAAACTGCAGCCAAACTCCTGGCTACCAAGCTGGAAAACATGAGTCACTTGCTGCTTTAGGCTGCTCCAATCTAGTAATTATTTAACCTTTGCTAACTGAACCAGATCCACAAATGTATTTCTTGAACTTTAAAGGTAAGAATGAATTCTGTTCTCTTCATTAGTATTCTCAAGTGCTTCAAGATGATGCATAAATAGGAATAATAATAGCTAACCTTCACTGAGCATTTACTGTGTGGGAAGACACCAATAGGAGCGTTTTACATATATTATCTCCCTTAATGCTCACTACAGCCCTGTAAGGTAGATTATATTATTAATCAGAATAAGCTTAACAAATGTTCATGAGGTCACATAGTTAGCGAGTGATGGAGTATAAACTCAGGCAGTGACCAAGATTTTAATCTCTGACTCCTCTGTGTCACACAGTTACTCATATGGGTGGGGCACAAGTAAGTGTCCTTGGGAAAAGTGTCTGCTTTGTCTCAGAATTCTGCTGTGGTTCTTGAAGCTTGCAGCATTTATATTAGTTCCATTACTGTCCTTGCTAAAATTCAAACAAGTGCAGGTCTGGAATGGAATGGATAAGCATTTTGATCTATTTGTACCAGTGAGGTTACACTCTGAGAACAGATAATATTGGATAAGAGGGAGGTTCATCAACAGGAAGTGTCTTAATAGTGTCGGCTCCTCATAGAGATATTTAGAAAAATATAGACCCAGATAGGGATTCTAAGGCTACGGACAGCCTGAAGTCACTGAGCTGGGAGCAAAATCAGGGGAAACTGTAGAGGAGGTCAAAAATGGAAAAGAAAGCTACAGGCTGAATCTGGCTGTAAGATGCAAGGTTAAAATCTACAAACCTAAGAATTTTGCTTGGAATAAAGACTTCATAGATTATGAAGTTAAAGGCATAGCATCATACTACTGGGTATCCCGTTCTCAGAAAAATCAACAAAAGATTTTATAGAGAATTCTAATCCATTTCCTTTTATAATACAAACGCATATTTGTAACAACATCCACTTTGAAATAGCAAAATCTTATCCAAGGGAGAAATCATGACATTTGAAAATTACTTATCAAATTGAATTTTAAAATAATTTATGAATTATTATAACCTAAATGGAAATTGATATCTCATTTGTTTTCCTGAAACAAAATATGAAAATGTCAAATGGAAGCGATTTTTTTCTGCTTTCAACTCCTTGGACTCACATGCAGTCAATGTGTAAGTAGTCTATGGTAGTCTATGATCATTTTTTATGTAATGAAATGAGTTTACTAATTTAGAGCTCATTAGTACTACTTTTGCAAATTGGCTTTCTGACTTGTCAACTTGATATTTGGGTCATGAAAAGTGACATAACTGGGTCTCTTGCAGCATTAATAGTGTTCCCATTTTAAAATTTATTTTCATAAAAAGCTTTTAAAGTTGTTTATTTTGAAGCATACTACTAATTCAACTTTTCTCCCTACTTCAATTTTTAACATGAGAAACTCTGGATTAGTTGCCTTCCCACCACTGAGACAAAATACCCACCACCTACAACTTGAGGAGTAAGTGTTTGTTTTGGCTCATAGTTTCAATAGGTTTAGTCCATGGATGGATAGCTCCAAAACAGAAACAGAATGGTGAAAGGACTTGAATGAAAGCTACTCAACCCATGGCAGCCAAGAAGCAGAGAAAAGCAGGAGGAACTGAGAAAAACAATATACCTTTCAGGTCATGCTTCAAGTGATCTATGTCTTCTGACAGAGCCCCACCTCTTAATAGTACATTTAGCTATGAACTCAACAATAGATTAATCCACTAATTCGTATGATCACCTTCCTAAAGTGCCACCTCTGAACACCTGAGTCTTTGGGTGAATATTTTATGAATTTTGGGGGGGGGGGGTACTGGGGATCGAAATCGGGTCCTTGCGCTTGCGAGGCAGGCAGCAGAACCACTGAGCTAAATCCCCGGCCCCTTTGGGTGAATATTTTAAATCTAAATCATAACAAACTCCTCTCAATTATGTGTAAAGTTTCCACAATGTCATTATCCTGCAATAGGTTAAAGATTACATACAGTTGTGAATGTACTGGAAAGAGTTTTTTATTCTAGACAAAAAAAATAAAGCTTACAAAATTTTATCCATTCTCTAGCTTAAGCTATAATTGGATTCTTATTGAAAAATGTAAACTATTCCCATATGACATATTGGAAAGAACTTGAACTTTGATATTATTCAAACTCAGAATCAAAATATGCTTCTTTCTCAGGTAATAGGTGTCATAGGGGAGTGAACTCCAAAATATGTAATCATAAGTAAATAACTATTTTCCTATCCTCTCACTGGGCTAGTTCTTTCCCTGTCCTTGAATTTTAAGCACTAGTAGTTACATTTTAAAGAATAATGCCATTTCCATAAGAACAGAGAACCCCTTAAAACAAAGGAAACAATCGTCACTCCCATGTGTTCTCTGCCATTCTCCAGCCAAGGCATCTGCTTTAACCCGGACAGGCTGACAGTGGTTGCAGTCCCCCCAGCCTCATAAGGACCAAAGCCAGTGACTGAGCAGAAATCAGGCCTCACTGGAACCCTGAGCAGAGGTTGGACAACTGCTTCTCAGGAACTCAGGAAATTCATGTGTCAGAAAAGGTGACTCATAAATAAACCAAAAGAATATGGCTGCACAGATGTCAGAATCTGATCAGATAAAACAGTTTAGGGAATTCCTGGGAACCTACAATAAACTTACAGAAACCTGCTTTTTGGACTGTGTTAAAGACTTCACAACAAGAGAAGTAAATCCTGAAGAGATCACCTGTTCAGAACATTGCTTACAGAAATAATTAAAAATGACACAAAGAATATCCATGAGATTTCAGGAATACTATATTCAGAAGAATGAGGCCCTGGCAGCCAAAGCGGGACTTCTTGGCCAGCCTCTATAGAGAAGTCCCAATGGCTGAGCTCTGGGTGGAGGCTGCCATGGCTGTTGCACTGGGAAAGAGGACTCATCAGGTGGAATCCCTGGAAGTGGTGGGCACCATGTTGAGCCATCTGTCATGACTATTTGCAAATGGAAACCACTGGAAAAACAAAACTGCTGCTCACCAGGAATAATCAGAATAGAGGATCTTATTGTTCAGTGAAAATAATAAGGTGCAACATTAAGGTTGAGGCCTTAAGATTCAGTAGCTTGGTAACATAATTAGAAAAATAAGCCACTGTTCCCTCAACTGTGACTGTTAATTTTAAAGCAAAATATGTGTTCAATCATGTAAGAGAAAAACATTACTGAAAGTGAAATAAATGGGAATATCACTGAAAAAAAACCACCTGCATAATAAAGAATTAATCATACCAGAAAAGTAAGACTCTGTAAGGCTTCTCAAAACTAGGCTCTAATCTCTTGAAAGTTTCAACCTAATAGAAGTGTCTTCGTTATTCTTATAGGGATTCTAGGACCCAGCTGATAATTTATACTAAAAAGATAAGACAGAGTGAGATCATCCATATTTATAGTCTTAACCATAAATCCCAGTCACACCTGAAAGATGAACTTAGATAATTGAATTATTGAGTTCAGTAGTATTAGCCTGACTTCCTCAGGAATGGGGTTGGAGATTTTGTTCAACTATGTAAATAATGATTCAGTCAATTCTGATTACATAGCAAAATCTCAGTAAAATCTTTAGACATTAATGTAAGGTTACCTTTCCTGATTGCTAGGGAAATATCAGTGATGGCAGGAGCGTAACCTATGCTTGAGGATATCGGAGCTTTGAGTTTGGAAACTTCAATTCCCAACATCTGCCTTTGCAATTCTTCCTTTGGCTGGTTCTAATTTGTATATTTTTTTCTTATAATAAAATTTCATCATTTCTCTGATTTCTGTGAGTCAGTCTAGTGGATTACCAAAGCAGAAGGAATCTGTGAGGACCTTCGGTTCATAGAAGATGGTTAGAATTGATGGTGGCCCTGAGGATCCTGGAACCTGCCAAGATGTCTGAAACGCAAGTAGTTTTATGGAAATTGTTTTCTCTGACTTTGCAGTTTGGTAAACACTTTAAAATTGCTGACAGAAATCTTGGCTGGGTGGAGGACTATGTCCTTAGCCTGTTTTTAGCCTCAGGTGTAGTGTAACTGCCAAACCCTTAATCAAGTTAGAGGTACCTGTTGCTGGAGTTTTGTGTTCTGTCAGACTGTTAAGCCACAGTGGGAAGTGGTCCTAGAGGAGGAGCAGTTCTATTCTGTCAGCTCTGGCTTATTCACATTCATTTCCAATCTCTCAGGTTTTGTCCAAGAGGAAGAGAAAATTAGGGTCTGTTTCACGTATTGTCACTGGGCATCAGGACTTGGCAAGTCTACAGCTCATTGACAGTGATTACTCAGCCCCTCAGATGCTGTGCTACTTTGCCCCTCCAGATGGCTTTCTTAGGTAGAGTCCTCATTCAGTAAGGTGAGGGGACACACAGTCCCAAGCCCACCATTTACTCTTCTCAAGAGAAACTTCTCCCTCAACTGGCCACTTCCCAACCTTGTGTAAGAAAATGTCAGGAAAAGCCATTGTGCAGGCTCTTAGCAAGGGTGGCATATGTTGTTGTCTTTGACTTATCTGGGATGGAATGAGTCCTATTTTAATCTTTACTTATGCTTGGAAAACATGAGCTTAATCACATTATCTAAGTTTTCTTTCTCTCAGCACCAATTTCTTCACCAGAAAAATTAGAATTAAAAATAAAATGAAGTTAGAAATTAGTACAGTAGACTTTGTGGCAGACATTTGTGTTCTCCATACCTTTAATTTTATTTTTTCCCTTTCTGTCTGTATAATGCATACACACATACTGTTTTCAGTAACCTACTGACCTATAATAAAAATGCAACTTTAATGAATTACAGTCTTTTCCCTACACATAATACATGCATTCATTAAAAAGAGACAAAGCAGTTTTGTATAACCCAAACATGTACAAAATGTGAAATAAAGTATTCAAAATTCCAATTATTTTTTTAGCCTAATCTTTCTCTCATCTCCATAACTAACACTGTGTTTTCAAAATTAGGTATTTTAAATTAAGTGATTAAAACAGGTGTACAAAAATTTCCCATGTGGATATGAAAACAAAGAAATATAGATATGAGTGTAATCTGGCATTTTTTTTCTCAAAATTGGTAATTTATATCAAACACATAAAGATGTAAATGGAAAATACCACACTGTATTTCCTCAAATCCCATCCCTCTAGAGGATTTCCTGCTTCTCATTCCCAACAAAAAACTGTAGGATTATTGTTCCTGGTCCTGAAAGGGGAATACACTTTCTCTCCTGGGCACAGGAAGAGTCTTGTTAAACATCAGAAATAGCTGCCACCTAGCCACTTGGCGTTCCCTGAGTCCAGGGATAAGGCTGAGAGGGAAGGATCTGCCATCCCAGCACTGGAATTGGTTAAGAGGAGTTAAGACAGCCATTATGCCATTATGCCACAACGACACGGAGAATTTTACATAGCATCCCAGTGACTCTCCTGGGTGCCTATTGGTACTAGTCCCTTGTCCAATTGTAGTAAGTAGATATGTGTATCAGTCCTGACTCCAGAAGGTTATGAAAATCAGTGACTCAGAAGCCTAAGGCATGATAAGCCATGCTATCAAAATAAGGCACTGCCACCAAGATGAACAGAGGTGAAAGCTGGGAATGAGAAAAATTTCAAATGAAAAGCAGTAGAAAAAAAGAATATGCAAAACCACTTGTGCTTCTAAGACTAATTTCAGTGTTAAGGGCTGTAGCTTTTCCCCAAACCCTTCCTTTCCCTTTCTCAATTTTCCTCAAAAAGAGAAGCCAATCAGAACTCTGAAGGGGTTAGAAATGAAGAAGTGTATCTGAATGGTGGAAAGGACAGACTAAGGGCACTCAGCCAGGCCATGCATCATTCAGTTTCCTCTACAAGACAGGACTTGCTGCTCCAGGTCTCAGAAGATGCCTCCCAGCTGTCAGCTCCCTCAAGCTCTAGAGAGCCCCCTTCCCCTCCTCTTGGGCATGTGCGTTAGGAGCTGCTCACATCCCATATCCGGTGATCAATCAATGTGGGAAAATAATAATCTGGTTGTGTCAATCAACCAAGAGCAACCTGGCAGGCCCTGTACATTCCAGAGATTCCCATGGGGTATTGTCAGGTCTGCATCATGGTTTAGTTTCTCCCTCTGCCCAAGACCCCTTCTCTCCCAAACTTTCCTCAGGTATTTAACTAATAAATCCTTTGCCACTCAAACTCCATTTCAACATCTGTTTCTGTAAAACTCTACCCACTATGAATTTTTTTCCTTGCAAAGGACAGAAACCAAACCAGATTAACGGTAGTAAAAGAAAATTTACTGGGAAACTATTCAGAATCTTGAAGATGATGGAAAGGTTGGAGGACTGGAGCCAAAGCAGCCACAAAGAGAGGGCCAGAAAGCAGGAACTGCAGAAGTCACACTGCAGAAATCAGTGAGGGTGCTGCCCTGGGGATAAATGAGCTCTGAATGTTTTCAATGCCTTTACACTTTTCTTAAGATGCAAATTGCAAGGCAAGAGCATCCAATGGCCTAAAGGGCTGCTGACCACCTAATTACAGTTTCAGCAAACTATCTAGTTGGAAAATGTGACTCTATCAAAAGATGTCAGGGTGCTGTTAAAATGATGAAATGGCTGTAGAAAAGGCAGAAAATAATAGGTATCTGTTGTACTCTATCTACTTACATTATCTATCCACAGTTCTTTCCATATATACATATATATATATTTCCAAAATATATACCTATGTATATAATTACTTTTACTGGTCCTCCCCTCAAGTTGCTGTCTAACATCTTTTTATTTCACTCTGAAGGAGTCTGTTCAATGTTTCTCCAAGTATGGACAACTTATTTTTCTTACTGTAGGATTGTCTTCATTGCTTTTTCATTTTTGAGAATCTTTCTGGACATAGAATTCATGGTTGGAAGTTTCTTGTTTCAACACTTTGAAGATGCCATCCACTGTTTTTCTCTCCTCAGTGATTTCTAATGAAAAATCAGCTCTGAATCATATAAAGGTTCTTTGCATGTTTTAAATTCTTTTCCTCTTGCTGATCTCAAGATTCTCTTTTTGTCATTGACCTTCGTCAATTTGATATAATATTTCCTGGTATGATTCCTTTAACATTATCCTGCTTAGAATTCACTGAGCTGCTCAATGTTTTTCATCAAATTTGGGAATTTTTCAGTCTCTATTTCTTCACATATTTGTCTTTCCTTTTCTCTTTCTTCTCTTCTGGGACTCCTATTATATATACTTGTTGATCTGATTAATTATGGTGCACATGTTTCTGAAAAATCTTAATAACCTTAGTCTGTTTTGCTTCCTTCCTTCTTTGCTTGAGCTTCTCCTCCTCTTTCTTCTCTCTCTCTCTCTCTCATCTCTCTCTCTCCTCTCTTTCACTTTTTCCTTAGGTTGGATAATTTCCACTGACCTTTTTTAAATTCATAAATTCTTTTTTTCCAGGTCAAATCTGTTGTGAGTCCCTCTACTGAATTTTTCATATGTGGTATTGTAGTCTCTAACACTAGAATTTATATTTGATTCTTTTTAAAACAAATTTGTATGTTTTCTGGTATTTTGCAGTTTGTAGGACACAGTTGTGATGTTTTCCTTTAATTAAGTAATTATTCTTTAATAATTGACTTAAAGTCTTTATCTACTAAATCCAACATTTGAACTCCTTGAAGGATTTCTTCTATTGGAAGCTTTTTTTGTTTTGTGTTTTCCTGTACATATGGCATACTGTTCTATTTTACATCTTATTAATTTTATGGAAAACTAGGTATTTTAATACTATATTATAGCAATTCTAATATTCAATCCATCCTCAACAAAGGTTGATTTTTGTTGTTGATGATGGAAGTAATGGTGTTTTTCTTATGGCTA